CGGCAAGTCAATATGGAATACATAAAAGACTCACACACGCTCCTCCCCATTATGGCTGAGAGGCCCGAGTAGGCAGCATTGATTACTTCCCTGAGAAAGGATGTACCACCTCTCACCCTGCCTAATCTAGCCTGCACTAACTCTGCCTGCCAATCTGTCTGATCCCAGATCTGCTCCTCTCAGCTATGAAGCTGTCGGTTATCTATGATTATGCAAGAGCATTCTGGAACACTTATATGCCTTTTGAAGCCTTTTTTTTTTTTTTTTTTTTGCCTTTCGAAGCCTCTAAAATTCTATAACAGCTTTTGCCTTGTTTCTGTCTAATCCATAAACCCTAAACCCTCGGTCCTAATGCTGTCCTGATTTATCTGTTCCAATACGTCCAGGTAGAAATTACCTCTCCTATACCCTAAAACTCTCCCTGTTTTCATCCGACTATGACCCTTGACCCCTAAACCCTTCCTTCGACTCTTAACCCTGAATCCCTTCCTTTTGTTTTTCCCTTTTTTTCCTTAAACCCTAAACCCTTCCTTCCACTGCTTGAGTTCCGTTCCCCCTTTCGCTCTTCTCTGTAATTCTATGATCAGCGCCCTCCCCCTCTCCATCTGAAGATCAAATGTGCTCCTTGGATTGATGCTACCGCTCCATCACCGAGTACCTTTTGCTTAAAGCGTTTCAATATTTCTTCCTCTTGTTCCGGCTGCTGACGTACCCGGTTCCTCACCGCTTTCCACAGGGCCTTAAAGTGTGTTTCGATGAGGGAAGTGTGTTTCGATGAGGGATAGGAAGATTTCCTTAGCTTCTTGTCTATGCATTGTTGTGCCCTCTATCGTGATTTGGCATCGACGCTTCCAAATGGTCCATAGGGCGTATTGTCGTGCTAGCTGGAACATATGTTTCTGAAAAGGTTGCCATTGCTTGGGAACTCGCGAACCCAGCAGTAAGGAAATCCTTGAGTGTGGAAACACAATCCCTGTTACTTGTCTCCAGGTGTCCTTGGCCACCTCCCAGATCCCCTGCGCCTCTTCACATTCGATCAGGCAATGTTGCATTGTTTCCGGAATTTGTCCCTGGCAAACCCTGCACCACTCCTGATCCTCACTCCGCTGCCCTCTATTTCTTCGTTGATTGAGCCAAACATTCACTGGGAGTGCTACATGGTCTATAAGCCATTGCATGCTCCTGACAGAGCCCAGCCGTATCGCACCCAATTTTGACCAAGGGAAGGATGACAAATGTCCTCGGGCCACCCCTACCCTCTTCTCCCATCTCTTTTGCAACGTGGGAGTTATAGAGCAAGAACGCCTTCTCAATTTATACCCTATTTTTGTGGTGTAGTGTAGAAAATTTACTCTTCTAGATGTTCCCCTTTGACCACTTCTGATATTCCACGCCCATTCCACCGGATCCACTTCTAGCTCTGCTATTGGTACTGTTGAATTAAGTCATCAGTCCGGTTCCTATTCCACCGGCAGCTGCCTTTTTCTTTCTTTTCTTTTCCAGAAAGGGCGACAGCCTTGTGATGTCCTCTTTGGACTGACTGGCCCCAAGTAAATTCAGACTTATTTTTGCTCATCTTATTCCATTCCAATTCGAAGTCAGGTCTGCATTTCCATAGTTTGTGGGTCTACCGACTGAGCTAGGTCAGTCAGTACCTGCTGCCTCTTCTTCTTCTTCTGCTGCTGCTGCTGCCAGTGGTTCTTCTGCTTCTGCTTCTGCTTCTGCTTCTTCTGCTTCTGTTTCTTCTGCTTCTGCTGTTTCTGCTTCTGTTTCTGTTGCTTCTGCTTCTTCTTCTTCTCCTTCTGTTGCTGCTGCTGCTGCTACTGGTATGCTTCTGCTTCTGCTTCTGCTTCTGCTTCTGCTTCTGCTTCTTCTGCTTCCTCTGCTTCTTCTGCTTCTTCTGCTTCTTCTGCTTCTTCTGATTCTTCTGATTCTTCTGCTTCTGCATCTGCATCTGCTGATGCTGATGCTGATGCTGATGCTGATGCTGCTGCTGCTGCTGCTGCTGCTGCTGCTGCTGCTGCTGCTGCTGCTTCTGCCGCTTCTGCTTCTGCTGCTTCTTCTGCTGCTGCTTCTGCTTCTGCTTCTGCTGCTGCTGCTGCTGCTGCTGCTGCTGCTGCTGCTGCTGCTGCTGCTGTTCTGCTTCTATTTCTGCTTCTGCTTCTGCTTCTGCTGCTGATTCTGCTGCTGATTCTGCTGCTGATTCTGCTGCTGCTTCTGCTTCTGCTGCTTCTGCTGCTGCTGCTTCTGCTTCTGCTTCTGCTTCTGCTTCTGCTTCTACCGCTTTTTAGGCAGAGTCCAGTCACCAAGTCTAGCACATCCACGACCATTCAAGTTGATAATGTTGGAGCAGCCAACACCATGGCCGAAGGTCAAAATGGCTAAGTATGGGTGAACTTAGAGCTAGCATACTGCATTAGGTTCCAATGGCCCTCAAAAGATTTGGTGTTCTGTTTGTTCTTTGCTATACTAGTGATTTCTCCCAAGGATACTACTCCTGATCTGGTGTTCCTAATCGTGGTGCCACCCCTGTTCCAACTAGCGACGGGCATAGTTCCGCCAATTAGTCATCCGCTAAAATTGGAATAATAACCAACGTGCATAGCTCCGTTGACACACCCACAAACTGTTGAAACACAAACCTGAGTTAGAATCCAGATGGAGCCTAGGGCCAGTCAGTTTCACACTGATATCTCAAGGCTTTCTCCCTTTTAAAAAGAGAAATTCAAGGAGAAAAAGGAGAAGTTAAAAATTGGGAAAATACAGAGAAAATTAGCATGACCACTGCACAAACGATCACATGAATAAATCGAAAAATGGACCCCCGTTCCAATTACCTGAGAAAGACAGAAATCTGGCTCCATTTTTTCAAGGTAACACTTGTGCTAGCAAAACTCAGGTAGTTCTTGTCTTTGTCCACAGCTAAGGGTGTTCAACACGACTGAAGGGTTTAGGGTTTAGAGTTAAGGGTTAAGGACTTCAGGTTTGAACCTGAAGGTTCAACTCAACTGAATTGTTTTGGGATTAGAGTTCAGGGTTAAGGGCTTCGGGTTTAGAGTTGAGGGTTAAGGGATTAGGGCTTAGACTGGAGGGTTAGAAGCTCAGGGTTAATAGACGAGGGTTTAGGGCTTTAGGTTGAAGACTGGAGGGTTAGGTGCTTAGGGTTTAGAGTGGAGGGTTGAGGGCTCTAGGTTTAAGATTGAGGGTTAAGGGCTTAGGGTTTATAGTTGAGGGTTAAGGGCTTAGGGGTTAGAGCTGAGGGTTGAGGGCTTGGGGTTTGACAGGGTTTAGAGTTGAGAGTTGAGGGTTAAGGGCTCTGGGTTCAGAGGTGACAGTTAAGGACTTAGGGTTTAGAGTTGAGGCTTAAGGCCTTCGGGTTTAGAGTTGGGGGTCAAGGATATCTATCTATCTATCTATCTATCTAGCTATCTATCTATCCCCCTGCTCTCTTCCCCCCTGCTCTCTTCCCCCCTGCTCTCTCTCTCTCTCTCTCTCTCTCTCTCTCTCTCTCTCTCTCTCTCTCTCTCTCTCTCTCTCTCTCTCTCTCTCTCTCTCTTTGTGCATGTATGTATTGATGCATTTGGCTGATGGATAAGAAGTATTAAGAGCTCACCACGCCACCCAGGGTTAGTGATATCCCTGAGAAAACTGGTGGACTTTACTCACACCAACCCCGCAATCCTTGCAGACTATCGGTCGAAACCTCTGACAAGAATTGCAGTAAGTGTGTGTGTGTGTGTGTGTGTGTGTGTGTGTGTGTGTGTGTGTGTGTGTGTGTGTGTGTGTGTGTGTGTGTGCGTGCCCCTGACAAGAATTGCAGTAAGTCTGAGAAACAAGTCTGTGTGTGTGTGTGTGTGTGTGTGTGTGTGTGTGTGTGTGTGTGTGTGACTCTTCTTGCAGAGCTCCCTCAGCAGAGATAAGGTGTGTTGTGTTGCGCATCCGCTAAACACCACCCCACATGAAGAGGGTGACTGTGACAGACTGTTTTCACCGAGTGATCAGCACACACAAAAAGGGCGATTGAGCCTGGGCGCACTTGGGCTCAACGCTTGCTTTCGCGAACATGTGTGGATCTCTACCGGTCACTCCCTCCCTAAGACCTCCCTCTGCGATCCTGGCCGTTTTTCATCCGTGCAATCAACCGTGCAGAGGCATCCGTGCAACGATTGTGCAGACCTATTGCACGAGCTATTCTTTTCTTTTTTTCTTTTGTTTTTCCTTTTTCCCTTTTTTTCTCTCCTTTTTTTCTTTTTTCCCCATGCTATTTTCTTTTTTTCCTTAAAATTTTCTATTCTTTTTGCTTTTTTTCTTTTTTTCTCTCTCTTTTTTTTTTTCGAAGAGAAAAGCCCATCGCACGGTCCATTCCATGGATGACAACTGGTCGGGACCGCAAGGAGCCTCGGTGCAATTGACCGTGCAAAGATGCCACGTCAGCACGAGCACTGAGGATTTGTGTCATTGTTTGGTGGCGCAGCAAATGTATCCGGGCATATACTCACCATAGTACTTTCGGGTAGATGCATTTGACTGCAATTACGGCCAGGTCTGGATGAATCTGACCGCAATCACGACCACAGCTTAGTAGTAAAAAAACAGTCCTAGCGTGAGCATGGCGTCAATCTCATGGTGCGTAGTCAGTCCCATGATCCTCACGGGTTGCGCATTTCACAGTAAATCTCTTATTAATAATAGTAATCTTATTAAACCCCGCACTATGTTGCATGCTATGCGCAGTAAACGGCCATACTTCACAGTATTTTTTTTTATTTTTTTTTTTTATCACAGTATTTACTGCATACTACAGTGCGTGCTATGCGCAGTAAATGTCAAAATTTCACAATCTTATAGTGCGCAACATACTGCGTGCTATACGCAGCAAATGTCAAAAAAACTCACAAAATTACGTTGCGTACTATATGCTTTTCTTGTGGAGATGTTGCGTACCTTAGTGCCGTGCGATGCGCAGTAAAAAAAGTCACAAATTCACAATCTTAGGTTACCGGCATATTACACTGGTGGGGGGACGTTTCCACAAAAAAAAAAAGAAAAAAAAAAAGGTTCCCGGCATATTCAACGCAGGACTTTCCTGGACGTGTCTGACCGTAATTAGAGCCGCACATGAATGATCTGGTCGCAATTACGTACACACATGCGTAGAAAAGGTCCATGTATCAGTGTACGTCCTCATAGTGCATACTAAAGCATGCGCATTATAATACTATGTGCATGCTAAAAAGCATGCGCATTATAATACTATGGTACGCAGCATAAGCGTGTGAATTTTTGACATTTACAGCGTTACAATCGTATAGCACGCACTATGGTACGCACTATCAGATTGTGGAATTTTGACATTTAATGCGTATAGCACGCTCTATAGCACGGCCACGTTAAAACCCGGACTTGGTATTTCCTGTACGTATCGGACTGTAATTAGAGCCAGACGTGGATGATCTGGTCGCAATTACGTAAACAGATCAGTGGAAAAGGTCCTGGTGTAAGTAAATGCCCATAGTCTGTCCTATAGTCTGTGCTATAGTCTGTGCTATAGTATGCGCTATAGTGCGTGCTACGTGCAGTAAATGCCGCAACTTCACAGCAATCTTAGAGTGCGTACTAAGGGCAATTACGTCCGCAGATCAGTGGAAAAGGTCTTGCTGTGAGTACGCCCCCATAGACCGTACTATAGTCTGTGCTATAGTCTGTGCTATGTCTGTGCTATAGTCTGTGCTATAGTATGCGCTATAGTGCGTGCTACGTGCAGTAAATGCCACAACTTTGCAGCAATCTTAGAGTGCGTACTAAGGGCAATTACGTCCGCAGATCAGTGGAAAAGGTCTTGCAGTGAGTACGCCCCCATAGACCGTACTATAGTCTGTGCTATAGTCTGTACTATAGTCTGTGCTATAGTATGCGCTATAGTGCGTGCTACAGTGCAGTAAATGCCACAACTTTACAGCAATCTTAGAGTGCGTACTAAGTTCCACAACCTTCACTGGACGCGCATGGCGCAGCAGAACACGCAATCTCTCTCGTCGCTCCCAAGCTCACAAGTGACACTACCGTCTTCAGCCGAGTAGAACGCCCGGTCATTATAGCAGGCTGTATTTCGGGCTACTTTCACTCCAGATGCAGCTATAATCGCCGGTT